ATAATAAAAAATAAAATAAACAATTGCTTGGCTCATAGTGTAAGCATAGTATACATAGCATTTGTTAAATGAGTAAGTGCGTGAGTTAATCTGTGGAATACTTAGAATTGTTAAATTCAAATATTATGAATATTTATAAGTTTGATAGGCATTGCTAAATTGTCCTCTTAAGAGTTGATTACCAATTTGCAATCCTGTCAGCAGTGTATGAGGGCTTGCCAGTGTCCTTATATTCTTGCAAAAACAATGTTTAATTGAACTTTTTGATCTTTGCCAATCAAAGGTGAAAATGATAGTCTCAGTTGACATTTATTTTAAGTGAGGTTAACCATCTTTTCTTATATTTAAGTCAATCCTTTTCCTTGATTTGTCTGTTGATATCCTTTGTTCATTTTTTGTCTATTGTTGATTGTCCTTTTTCTTTTTTATTTCAGGGAAGTCTTTCAAATATTTTTTCCCAGTTTATTGTCTTGATTTTGTTCGTTGTGTTTATAGGTCAGTCTTTTATTGCCTTTGGATTTCAGGTGATGGTTACACTTTCTAAAATTGTTGAAAATTCTCAGTCATTTGAAAAAAAAAATACTACCCTTCCCAGAGTTTTTCCATTCTTTTATTGAGAAACATCTGTCAGAAGTATCTTATAATTTCTCTCATTTTGTCCTACACATCTCGTAACCTCACTTAATTTATTTTTATTTTATTTTTAATTGAAGTATACTAAACATACAGTATTGTATTAGTTTCAGGTATACAGTATGGAAATTCAACATTTAAATACCTTGCAAAATGGTTTCCATGTTAAGTAGCCATCTGTCACCATATAAGTTTATTTTAATATTAACTATATTCCCTATGTTGTATGTTATATTCCTGTGACCTAATTATTTTATAACTGGAATTTTGACTCTTTTGACTCTCTAATCCCCTGAGTCTGTTTCAGTTTTATTTTGGTTTTTTGCTTTTTAGATCCCACATATAAGTGAAACTATATGGTATTTGTCTTTCTCTGTTCAACTTATTTCACTTAGCATAATACTAAGGCCATCCATGTTGTCACAACTGGCAAGATTTCATTCTTTTTTAAAAAAACTATTCTTGAAGAAGTGGCCTAATGTTGGAGATATCCTGTGGAGTTCAGCAGTGCAATTCCCTCTGACTCCCAGAGCCAGGTCCCCCAGGGGTGTCCCCTGTATGGGCTGTATGAACCCATCTGTTGTGCCGGGCCACGACTTCTGCAAGTGCACTGGTGTTTGGGGTGGCCCCTAGTGTGGCTGGCTGCAAGGCATGGCTGTGACTGCTATGGGCGTGCTGATTGGGCAGGTTGTAACCTTTTATATTTTTATATTTGTTACACTTTGAGGAGGTTTTTTGTTTTGTTTCTAATGTTTTTATTGATTTCAAAGACAGGAAGGGAGAGGGAAAGAGAGATAGAAACATCAATAATGAGAGAGAATCATCGATTGGCTGCCACCTACATGCCTCCTGCTGGGGATTGTGCCTGCACTATTACTATGTTACTGAAACAGTCCCTTTCAGCCCCAGAATAGCTGCAGGTTAGGTTATGCACGTTAGGTGTTTTGTTCTCTGTGGCTGGCTTCTGGACATATCTTTACTTTGTACATTCAACTATGTATTTAAATATTTTTCGGTTATATTTTATCCAGCATCTGGTGTTTTCAGCTTATCTAGCTCATCGTATTGCCTGAACCTGAAATGTGTATTAGTTTTGTAATAAAAGATGTTCTTGTTCTTATCCCTTTTTGCTAAGATTAGAGATATATGAAACATGGAGTTGTCTGGAAGCAAACATACTAAAATAATGTATGTCACTACACAAGCCAAACATTATTAAGTTTTGACCTATTTCTTTTGAATTGACTCATTTTAGGTTACTTCCTATGTCAAAGGGCTTAAACCTTTGTATCCTTTCTTCAAAAAGGTGAATGTGGTGACTTGGGAATATTTAAAATAGCAAATTATCCATCAAGTTTTTTCGCTTAATTTTCTTTCAGCCAGCAAATACTGCAAAATGTTAGTTGAAGAAAAAGGATTGCAGCTTTTGTGTGACATCCAGGAGCACAAGGAGGCAGACCCCCAAGCACAGCAGATTGCAACCTCCATTCTGGATGACTTCAGAATGCACTTCATGAATTATCAGAGACTCCCTTTGTGTTGAATGCTCTTTTTAACCTAAGGAGTCTCAGATGTGCTCTTTGTTTATCAAGGGCAGGCACATCTTCCATCCTGTCAGCCACTGAATGTTGAAACCCATTGTTGGAGTTTGTATGTTAGCCAACTTTTATTTATTTATTTATTTTATTAATCCTCACCTGAGGATATTTTTTCCATTGATTTTTAGAGAGTGGAAGGGAAGGAGGGGGAGAGAGAGAGAGAAACTTCGGATGTGAGAGAGACACATGGATTGGCTGCCTCCTGCAAGCTCCCCAGCCAGAGCTGGGGATTGAACCTGCAACTCAGGTACGTGCTCCTGACCAGGAATCAAACCCTCAACCCTTCGGTGTGCAGGCCAACGCTTAATGACTGAGCCAAACTGGCCAGGGAGGCCATCTTTTATTGATGGTGTTCTGTAAGTTACCGAAGGTTGCATTTTATGATGGCCATAACCCTAAATCAAGTTGGAATCGTTCTGAGAATACTCCTTCAGCAATTTTGAAAAATCAAGCCCTGGACTCTGGGAAGACCTGTGAGCTTGTGTTGAAACACCTATGTCAGTAACTTTTGTCTATAAGTAGATACCAAAGTACATTCCACTGTGCGGTGGAGGAAAGAGAAATATAATTTTTGCAATTTTTGATATTCTTCTTGTGGCCCTTTCCCCTCCAACTTTACACATTAGACTGAGTGGCATAATGTTCTGTGTATGTGGGCATGCTGAAGGGGCGTGGTGGGACTTAGGACTGAAAATAGTGTGTAGATAGAAGAGTGTATGGGAATTGTTAATCTCAATCCCTCAAATTTTTTTTTTAAACTTCCTGATTATAATTTTTTTTTCTTTTTTTAATATATTTTTATTGATTTCAGAGAGAGGAAGGGAGAGGGAGAGAGAAACATCAATGATGAGTCATTGATCAGCTGTCTCCTCCACTTCGAGCCAGGAACCTGGGCATGTGCCCTGACTGGGAATTGAACCCCGATCTCCTGGATCCTAGGTTGATGCTCAACCACTGAGCCATGCCCAGCCTGCCTCAAATTTTTTTTTTTTAATTTGTAACATATTGTGATTTATTTTATCATTCTCAATACTCATTTCGTACTTACGAGTCAAAATTTCCAATTTTCTTTCCTTACAAAAGTTCCCCCCAATTTTATCAACTTCAGATACCATAAATTTGAATCCACCCCAGCACTAGAGATTATAATTAACATACTTTTGTCTGCTCTGCTCCTTGATATAAAGGAGAAGCTGATTCTGAGAGAGAAATTCAGCATCAAGTCACATTCAGGCACTAGAGAGACAGCAGGTAAAATCTGTGTCACCAAATGAGAGTGGAGTTTTAAGTCCTCAAAAACTGAGTGGTCTGTGGACTTGAAATGATGGTCCTGCCCCATTTCTTTGTCTCATCAGTTAGGCTGGAAGATGAGATTTACTATCCACTCCACCTGGTGGAAGGTACGAAAGGGATATGTTTCTCCTCTGCACAATTTCAAATGCAAGAGGGCTCTGTTCTGAGTCATCGCTGATGACTGGGGGTCAAATTTTTAATAGGAGTAGAACTGTGACCAAAACTGAGGAAAATAAAGAGCCACAAAAAGACTTTGCCAAAGATTTCAAGAGGTGGTCTTATCTACCATGGTGACAAGAAAAATATGAACTTTTCTGAGAACCAGCCTCAATCACAGTATAAACTGTCAGAATCTTGTGTCCTTGCAAACCCCCTTTGTGTCCTTGCAAACACCTGTAGAGTAGAGTATGGATTCATTTCTTGCCTTACTATTGACAACTAACAGACCATGTTTATCATTCATGTGTTTTAAGTTTTTCAAAGAACAAAAATAAATTCCTCTTTTATTAGTAGCATAAAGACTAGAATTTTATTCTCTTCCCTGGCCACACTCTTAACTGGAGTGCTATGTGCCATCTTTTGGAATCAAATGAGACTTATTCTAAACCATATTCCAAACTATTGCTTACCAGTGTCCCACTGGATAAAGGGAATTTGTAACCCTTCTTCCTACAGTCCTGAAACTGTACTGTATTTCCTGTCTTTTCACTCTTCTGCATGATTTCAAAAGCCTGTCTTAGTTTCCTGACCTGGGTTCTTGTACGTTGGAACATTGTATTACCAAATACTAGCTTTTGCGAATGTGAGGATGTGGTGGGGCATTGTGCCCGTTGAGGTCCAGTTCTACACTGGGCACCTCTCCAAGTCTCATTCACAACAATCCTGTGGGGTTTTATTCTCTCCTTTTAACAGATGAGAAAAAGGAAGTTCAGTAAGGTGGTTACTTTTCTGAGTAGTTAGCAGCTTGTTAGGTTGGGGCTCATTCTAAGGCCTGGGCTCTTCTGTGTTATTCTCCCTTCCAGGAAATGAGCACAGCCTTAGAGCACTTTTGTATTTAGCAGCAAATTAACAACATTATTGGTATGTGTCCATGCCCATGGCTTGGTCACTCTAGGCCAGGCCTAGGCTCAGGAAGCTCAGGCAGAGCTTAGATCTGTTACAGAATGACCACAAGGCCCTGGTGTAGGATGTAGCCTTCTCTTCCCCTGCCTTGGTACAGGAGGAGGGCTTCTGAGACTAGTGTGCATATATGCATATCAGCTCCCCTTTCTCTCTGTGTGTCATCCTCTTGTTCACCTTTGCTCATGCTGTTCCCCGCAACCTCCTTCTTTGCCTTAAATGCCTATTCTTCAGGTTTCCACTTTAGTGTTACCTGCCCATTTCCTGACCCTCCATTCTCTCCTTCATTTAATCACTTCCTTCCCAATGCTTCTGAAGGCTATTTAGTGCAAATACAAAGATTGACCTGCCACCTGGTAGTTTACAAAAGGTTTTCACAACAATGATTTTATTTGGTTCTCACAAGAACACTGTACATTAATAACTCAGATTTATTGAATATGAAGCATTTTATTTATTTAAATCCTCAAAATAATTTTACTTCGCAGATGAGGAAGCTAAGGCACACAGTGAGTAACTGGCAGGGAGCTAGATTCTGCAATCTGATTCCTGGTACCTACTTATCTACTAGGGTTTCCTTATGATCTCTATTGTACAGTTAGAAACCGGGGGAGGGGGGGGGTTCTTACTACGCCCTGCCATCTCTGGTGAGCACCTGACCACTGAGAGGCAGAGGTCAGGCCTGAGAGCCAGCAAAGGCCCAGAGGGGTCTGTTTAAATTTTTAGTATATCATTCAAGTATGGAAAGACCAGTATTCTCTAAAGCAAACCCCAGTGATTATCTAGCCAGGGTAGGGAATAATGAAAGTAGCAGGAGGTGGCAAGGTCAGCACCTTAGTGCCAGGCACCATGTCAGTCATTTTATGAACATTATTGTCCTTGTGAGGAAACAAGTCTGGAGATGTGAAATAATGAGGGCAGTCATGCTGCAAGTTTTCCTCTGGATCCTGCACTTGAAGGTGTGCATCTCCCGTGCTTGAGGTTCAATGGGAGTTACTCGCCTACAAATCTCGGGGGTCGCTTCTCTCTGAAGGCTGCCATGCCCTCTAGCCGGTCCCGGGTAGGGATGTTCTGAAACAACAGTAGGATATTAGATTGTTGGGGTGCAAGGCCAGAGGCCAATAAAGACTTTCTCACATTTGTCCAGTTCATGACAAGGCTAGGGAACAAGTCTTTCTATTGTCTGCAGACTCTGGTGTGGGGCCATACAAAGGTATGGGCCTCAGTGGCTCCTTAGTCTCCTGAAGAAGGCAGGCCACCTCTTTAGAATCTGGCCTGTCATTAGCTTTTATTGGCACACTGCTTCATGCCTCCAAAGAACTGAGTCTCCTGCAGCAGTCTGATACACGGCTTCGCAGTAAGAAACTGGCCTTGAATCCTGGTGTGTAGCTCATTCACACCAGGCCCTGCAAGTCCCAGGACCCCCTGTGTAGGAGTAGTTTTGGTATTTATTGGCCTGGAGGTTACTAATTTTTGACTCACCCAGGAGTCAGGGTTAAATAGGTCAGCCCCAGGTTTATCATCCCACCATGAAACACAGCCTGCAGACTATAATAACCAAGGGCTCAACATCCCAACATCCTACAGTCGCCACTGGTACAGGGACAGTAGGAGCCATTCTCCTCTCTGTGTTCTGTGATTCTCTGGTAACTAAGTGGGGACAGGAAGTAACACCATCAGGTGGCTGAGGAAACAGTCACAGAGAGAAGCAATGTGGTTCCTCTGGGATCACCCCAGGCTAATTGTGAGGAGCAGGTGGTATAGAGTGAGGGAGGAACCTACTACATTGGTCATGTATTGCACAAGGGCCCCCACTCTGGCCCAGCCTCTGCTTACAGGCATGCATGGACTTTTTGGGCAGCAGCCACGTACCTGGGCATAGCATATCCCTTCAATGGCCATCCCTGATGCAATGTCCACCTGTGAGAAAGAAGTACCTGGGTCAGCCTGACCTTGTCCACCTCCATCTGCACTGGGAGCCTGCCCGCCCTGCTGCCTATACTATTCTCAACTAGTTCACGGCTTCCTCCAGCAAAGAATTACTGAGGCTTACTGTATGGCAGTCGTGAAGAGAGATGATTATGATAAATTCCCTACCTGGAGAGGGAACACTTCATAACTGACAAAACAGTGCTGGGGCAAATGGGGACTGTGAGAACAATGGGGAGGGTTGTACACAGCCTGTAGAGCTGAGGAGGGTGTGCATGAGCTGTGCTTGTACAGAGGGTGTTCTCCTTTCCATGGGCTGCTTTACCATGCCTCCTGTCACCCCCATTAGTGAACTTTGCAGGCTTTCCACTGCCCTTAGGAATACGGTCCTGGGCTTTCACAACCTGGTCCCTGGCAACTTTCCAGCCTCTAGTGCTTATTATTACTACCACTTAAGCACTGCTCTAAGAGAAGTACTGCATGTGTGTAATCTTTACAGCAAGGATTATCATCCCTACTATGCAGTTGGGAAATCTGAAGTATAGAAAGTTGGAGGAATTTACGTAAGGTCACAGCAGTATGTGGAAAAGCAGGTCTTTGAACTGAGACAGCCCAGCACTAGAGCCCATGCCCCTAACTTCCATGGTTTGTTGTCTCATCCCTTACTCCCATTCAGTCGAGTTGCTTATTTACACACCTCTGTGCTTTTGCTCATATTTGCCCCCCCTTTTTTTTTTTTGAATTCTCATACTTTCCAAGGCCCAGCTCTAGAAAATATTCTCTCAGCACTACCCAATGGGACAGTGCAGCTTTAACCTCTCCAGGGCATCTATCTGCTTGGTACCCTTAACCTTTTATTAGTGATCTAGGCCTGTATTTGCTCTGCTCCCCAACTTAGGGGGCAGTGACCATATTTGACTTATCTCTGTCCCAGTTCCCAGCTCAGCTCTAGGTTTAGTGTGTGTTGTGTGATTAAGTTGATGTCTAGGGATGATTAGCTGCACTCAAGACTCCACCCTGAGCCCTCTCCTTGAGGCCACATTACTGATGACCAGTGCAAACCCAAGAACTTGGACTGGAACCCACACTGACCTGGTTCATATTACTTGCTCTGTGACCCTGGGCGAGCCATTTACCCTTTCTGAACCTCAATCTCCAAGGGATAAAGATGGGGATAAAATGAACCCGGAATATCTCCTGGCCAAACGCTACATTTTGTGGATGGGTAAACTAGGGCACAAAAAGAGGTCAGACTGTTACAAGATCCAGTTCCTGCGTTCTTTCCAGCTGTGCTGTCAGAGTGCCATGAAAGCACTGCCTCCCAGCCACCCCACTGACTTTAGTCCTGACCAGAGAGAGCCTTCTCACCTCCATTCCTCGATCAATGGCTACTTTCCCCAGCCGCACAGCAATGGGGGCCTAAGGGAAAGAAAGAGCTTGGTTGAGGGAGATCAATCCTGACGGGGTTGAAATAAAGGTATATAGCTCCATGGTGAGGGAAGAGTTGTGAACAGGGAAGCAGAGTGCTAGCTATTCTCAGGGTTATGCTCCGTCAGTGTTAGCACCTATTGGTTCTCTGTTGATGTTCCTTTTCTATTATAAAGGAAACCTGGCTAATCCCTGACCTGCCCAATCCTGACCATTGGGTTATTGTCATTTCATTCCTATGAATACTACAATTTATGAAGTGCTTTCCTGCCCACAGACTTGTCTAATGGTATTACCTACCCTTCCAGGATGGTGCCATCTTTAATTGAGGCTCAGGGAGGAATCACTTGGCTGCATTTGTCCAGTGAACCAGTGGTGAAGCTTGGATTTGGTTCCATCACCTTTCCCACTACCTCTCCCTTCCTCTACCCTTCTCATCTCAGCAAATGCAAGCCTCCACTGCAAGCCCCTTTCACCTCAGACTAGGTAAATAGTAAAAATGTTGGTAATGCTCACTATTGCCAAGATTAGCAAGCAGGTATTTGCATACATTATTGATAGAGTAAATTGGTACAGTGCTTTGGGAAAGCAATTTGGCAAGAAGTAACAAGTGTTAGATGCACATGTTCTTTGGTGTTGCAATTCCATGTAGGAATCTATCCTACAGAGACACAACTACAAGTACACGGAGATGTACAAAATTATTCACTCCAGCTATTTTGCAGTAGCAAAAAGATGTGAGCAACAGAAATATTCATCATTAGAGTACTAGTTAAATAATAGCACATCCAGACCATGAATGAAAAAGTGCAGTTGTTGAGAAAAATGAGATTGATAAATACAGTGGTGGGAAAAGTAGGTTAATAATGATAAATAATACAATAATTAATAAATACTAATGCAAGAATAAACTTTTGCATACTCACAACTGTAAACCTACTTTTGCCTACCCCTGTGTACTGAAATGGGAAACTCCAAGAAATAGGTTAAAAACAAGGTGCATACTAGTATATATATTACTACATTTGTTGTAGTAAAAGGTGTTGATATAATGTGACTTTGCGGAGAAGGGTCAGGAGAATGGAGAACTTTTGTTTTATACCTTTCCATACAGTTTAAATTCTTTATATATATTTTAATTTCATGTTTTTAAAATGTCTCTTAGAACTGGATTAGCCTCTAAAGGTATGTTCCTTGTCCCTAATCCATCCTTAACAGGAATTTAGAGTTATTTACACATATATGTATAACTTATATTCTTACATATGCAATGAAAATTTCTGGAAGAGTATGCTTACTGTTAATAGTGGTCATCTCTGGAAAAAGGGATTGGAGCTTTGAGAGCTGTTTGGGTGACAGCTGGCCTGGTCTGCCCATTACTGAAGGGTCATCAGGATATAGGACTTTTATTTTAACTGTGTTGGCCCCGGGTAAACAGGGTCACCCAGGTAATCCTACTTTTCATTTTTACCTATGCCCTTATTTCTGTGTTCTTTTTGATGTTCTTGTCATGAGTATATATTATTCTTACTTAGTAACTAATAAACTGATGTCTCATTAAAGAAAATTTAAAACTACACAGATACATATATATATAAAAAAACCTATACAGATAGAGTTTTAACATACTGTACAGGGGTGGGCAAAAGTAGGTTAAATTACTAACCATCTTTACCTAAAAAGATAAATCATAAGTAAGGATGAAATAACATGATAAGACAATACAAATAATACAATAATAAATAGTACAAGAATAAATTGTTTAGTGTACTCACAACTATAAACCTTCTTTTGCTTACCACTGTAGGTATGTTAGCATACATATTTATGTTAGTATAGAGACATGTGAGAATTATTAGAAATTTAATAATTTCACGTTATTTGGAAATGAGAACAGTGAGTCACACTGTGACCATAGTATGTTCAAGTGGAAAACGTAGCCAAATCCATATTTAAAGCATAATGTGTATTTACTATTTTGGGGAAAAATCTGAGTGTTAAGTTACAGGCCTTGCATTTATTAAAAATCTTGTTTTGGGCCTGAATTTTGAACCATTTGACTCCCTAGTCTTGGTGGTTTGTCCACTAGAAGGTAGCCATCTACATACCATCCCTGGCATTCACCCGATCCAGAAATTGGCTGGAAGTTGAAGTTTTACTTTTTAGGTTGCATCAGATATTCCGGCATTGGGATTAGTGATTGTAGTACTAGTTTTTGGTATGCTGGTGTTTTGGAATGCAAAGCTACTTTTATGTACTAAAATACTACTACTTACATTAGTGCAATACCATTATTTCAGTATATTAAAAAATCTGAAATCAGAATCATCTTGAGATCAAGCTCAAAGACACAGTTATACAGTTTATGCAGAAAGACACAACCCTGCAGAAGTCTTGCTAGATAGGCCCCCTCTGTGAAAGTGCAGTCAGCCACTACCTGGGTCATGCAGTTTTGTATTAGTTCAGATACTTTCTGACCAAGTGTAATAGAAACCTGACAGCCCAGCCAGGCGTGGCTCAGCGGTTGAGCAGTGACCTATGATCCAGGAGATCAAGGTTCTCTTCCCAGTCAGGGCACATGCCAGGGCTGTGGGCTCAATCTCCAGTTGGGGGAGAGCAGGAGGCAGCCGATCAATGACTCATCATTGATGTTTCGATATCTCTCTCCCTCTCCTTTCCTCTCTCTGAAATCAATAAAGATATTTAAAAAACACACACAACCTGACAGCATTAAAATTGCCCTGTAACACTATCAGACTCTCCATTTATATGTGATGAAACTAAAAAAAAAAAAAAACACGTGCTTTCATTTAAACCAAACTCACTGTCAGTTTTGAAAAGTTACAGTCCCTGCCCTCAAGGAAGACCTCAAAGTTATAAAAAGAGGTAGGATTAATTCAAATAGTTTTATCTGTTAATATTAAAATGATGTGTAGATAACATTTTTATAGACTTTGTTTTGTAACATGTTTGTAAATTTTTATATTTGACATGCATTAGTTTCACAGTTCTAGAAATTCTGTACATATTGTGTACTCTTTAGAATAAAATACTAATTTTTATATTGTATGTAGTTTTTGTATTATGTAAAATACAGAAATACCAGTATTGTCTCTCCAGTATTAATTGCAGTCACTTTTTGTGACCTTCATGAGCAAGCCACTTAACCTTTTTTGCTCTATCATAAATACAATGAGGGTGATCAATGCAGCTGGATTGTTCTAATAACTGAGACCCTATTAAAGTACCTCGGATTGTTTCTGATGACTGGGAGATACTCCATATGGGCTAAGTCAATATTTATTATAAGTTAGCTCCATTTCAGCTGCTTTCATATCTTTATGGAAACTTGAGACCTACCTCCTGGTCCTGTCAGGGTCATGAGAAGCCAGCAGAGGCTCTCATGTCCTTGGAGACCCCAACAGTCAGATCCATGGCGTCCTGCTGAAGGATTTGGGCCTGGCAGCTGGTGGTATTATACTTGGGCAGGGCCTAAACCCATTCCCTGGTTCTCTAAACCTTCTGTGAAATTATGCTCAGAGGCTATTTGAGGATTTAAAAAAATTAATAGGTCTTAACACATGTAATTTCTGCACCATGCAGTGTGGTCAGAAAGATGGGCTTGTAGTTCCCTACTTTGCTTTTTCAGTTTTGGGGTCATGTACTGTTCAGTGTAGTAGTCACATGTGGCTATTAGCATTTGAAATGTGGGAAGTGTAACAGAAACTAAATTTTTAAATTTAAATCTATGTGGCTAGAGGCTGCCTTAGTGGACAGCACAAGTATAGAACATTTCCGTCATCTCGGAAAGTTCTCTTGGACAGTTTTATTCTGAAGATTTTCAAGCCCATTTGATTCCAGTCTCTCAGAATTCAATTTTCATTTTAACTTAAAATTTGATTTAATTTTGTTCACTGGATGGCTAAATGGATGCAAAACTCCAAAGATGGTAAATGGATCTTGCATGACAGTATGGGATACCCTGGCCTCTCAACGTGTGTCCCCCCATGGCACAGGCCCACCCTCCTGTGCTGGGCTGCCACCGCACCTGGGGCAGGATCTCCTGGGCCAGTTCTCGTGCGCGGTGGTAGGCAGCATTGCCCTCCTCATTCTGGGCCACAGCATGATTCACCAGCCCCAGGGCCTGGGCCTGCGCCCCACTCAGTCGTCGGCCTGTGAAGATGAGCTCCTTCGCCAGGGCCACCCCCAGGCATCGAGGCAGCCTCTGAGTCCCTCCTGCCAGGATGGAATGGGGGTGGTAAGTCAGTATGGGAAGTGGGAGCACAGAGAAGGCCCAGGCTGGGAGTCAGCCAAGACAACTTCTCAGAAGCAGATTCTGAGTTAGAAGGGCAGAGCCTAGGAAACGGGAAAGAGGAAAGCAGGAAAGTACTCTGGATAAAGGAATTGGGCAGGTAGACGAGGGTAGGTGCTATGGGAGATGTTACCTGCTCCTGGGAGGAGCCCTCGGGTGGTCTCGATCAATCCCATGACAGCCGAGGAAGCTGCATAAACAGAGTGAAGCCCCCACCCTCTCCTCAAGTGCCAGTCCTTGGGGAGAAGTGACACCCACCTCTAAGATCTTCTCACTCCATTCAGCCAGCCACTTCCATCATGCTCTGGCCAGAGCCAGACCTCTCGACTCTGCCTTCCGAAGAGCCCTGGCCTAGAGGTCAGGAGGCGCAGGCTCTCATTCTACCATCCCCACTGGGTTCAGGGGTGGGGCTGTGCATCACCAGGCAAGTCTCTTACCCTTTCTGAGCCTCATAGGTGGAAAAAAGATGATTATCCCTCTTCTGCCTGCTTCAAAGAGCTGCTAAGGATCAAATGAGATAATGGTGCTTGGAACAAGGAAGGGGCTCCTGGAAGGTGCCCAATACCTATTTGTGGGTTAATGGATTCTCTATCTCATGCACCCTTAGCTCTGGTCTGGCCTAGAATGTGAATGACTCCTGCTTCCATCACAGTTACTCCTCCCAACTTTTTATCAGCCTGAAATTTCCTTGTGTTCAGTCCACATCCTTCTGAGTTCTGCTTCCTCTGAGAAGCCCTTCGTGAGTGTTCCACCCCACAGGCTTCTCTCCTAAATTCCCTCTGACCATCTAAACCATGCAGTGTGGGCAGGAGGGAACAGACTATCACTCCTGCCTATGGGGTTTTACACTCACTCTCTCCTATTGCCAAAACCCTTCAAATTAGTTGCCTTAAACGTGGACAAGGTTAGAAGCAGAGTTGAAGCTATGACCTAACCAGGTATTTTGATGCCTTTTCTTTGACATGCATCGTGTAGGTATAAGCTACCTGTATGGCTGGAGTTACACATTTTTAAATGTTCTGGGGTGGCAGGAGAAAGCATTGAGGGAAGATGTAGCACCATGATGGCACTGACACTTTTTGTCTCCAGAAGGGCACCTAACCAAGTCTGTAAGGTTAAAATGTAATCAGATTTTTTCATCCCCTCCCTCCACTCTTCAGCTCTCAGTTGCTCTAAACAATGACCTGGAGGGCAATGTTCCTGTTCAGGCATGTTTGTGTCTAGCTGGGCTGGTGATAAAGTGTCCCCATGGCTCACCTTTGTTTAAAACATGCTAAGTAAAGCTGACTTGGACAGAACTGGAAGGTTAAACAACTAATATTGTCCTCCTCTGCCTTCCCTCTCTGTGCTCTTTTCCCTGTCCTGTCAGCAATTGCTCTGGGATCAGTAGATGCCCTCTGGAGATGAGGGAAGCTGGTGCTGAGAGGGGACTAGTTCTACAGCAGTCAGGAGTTGGGCCAGTAGGGGAACCGGCTTCCCCAATCTGTCCTCCACCTTGCCTTTAGATCTGCAGTTGATTGGAAAGCCAAAAGCAGTGGCTGACTTTACAGAATCCCAACTTACCCTGTTTCACTCGCTCTTTCCTCCCCACCCTATCCCACCTCTCCCCCTGCCCAGTACCTGCCACTCGGAGGTCACAGGCCAGGGCAAGTTCCAGGCCTCCACCCAAGGCATACCCATCCATAGCTGCAATGGTGGGTGCAGGGAAGGCTGCTGTAGAGATGAAGAAGGGCTCAGGTTGAGAGGCTATGGCAGGACCAGAACAGGGACTCAAGGCTGGAGAGGGGCGAGCGGTTGGGACAGAGGACCTCACTGATCTAAGGCTCGGAAGCTTCATCTGGTGCCTCAGCCAGGTTATTTTAGAAGTTGGTTTTCCAACCGGGAAATTTGTGGGACCAGCTCAGGAACCAGAGTGGGGAGAAGAGCTGGATGATCCCTGCTCAGGCCCCCTCTCCTGCTCACCACTCTGGGGCTGGCCATTCTGCTCTCCCTTCTTGTTCTGTGTGGTAAGCCCTGTGCTGGGTGCTGGGAACACAGAATTGAATCAGACATGGGGAAGACAGACCCAGATGATCAGTACTTTATTAAAGGAAGCTTGGAGTATTGGTCAGGGAAGCTTTCCTGGAGGAGGAGCTACTGGTGTTCTTAAAAATGAGTAAACAGTTTAGTTGGCCAAGAAGGGCTATTCCAGACAAAAGGAACAACAGTTGCCAAAGCCTGAAAGCATGTTTGGTGAAACTTGGTTCCTCTGGAATAGCCAGGCTTGAAACCCCGAGGTGATGGGGTGGGAGGAGGGGGTCAAAAGCAGCAGGGCACAAAGGCTGAGCCCCCTGTGAAGGAAATGCCCTCTAAACCCCCTTGTCGTCATCCTCCTGGTAGAATTCCTTGTCCCCACCCTCCCTGGGAGAGTCATTTGTCTTTCCACAGAGCTCACAATAGAAACTGTCCTCTCTTTAGAGGATGGTGGGTGGGTGGGTGTGTGTGGCTGGGATCACCAGGGCCCCTGAATGCCCTCCTCCACCCCATTCCATTCCAGGACCCTCACCAATCTCATTCATCAGGCCTCGGAGCCGCTGGACACAGACCCCCACTTCTGCATCATTCATCTGCTCCCGCTCCTTCAGGTCTGCACCTGCAAATGAGGGCTTGGTGACAGTCCTTGGGAAATAACCCGTTACTGAGTCTTGGCTGTTACAGGATCCAGCAAAGGAGACTTGAGGAGAAGCAGCCAGAGAGGAAGGAGAAACACCAGGAAGCACTGGTCAAGGAAGCCATGGAGGAAAAGGGGGAGGAGGTCATAAAGGAGAGGTGCCACAACAGAAAAATTGGACTTCAACTTTTGTGCATCAAAGGACACTATGAAGGAGTGAAAAGACGGCCCACAGAATGGAAGAAAATATTGGCAAATCACGTATCTGACAAGTGATTAATATCTAGGATATATAAAGACCTCCTACAACTCAACAACAAAAACCCCACATAGGACAAAGACTTTCACAGATTTCTCCAAAGAAGATGTACAGATGGCCAATAAGCACATGAAAAGATGCTTTAACATCAGTAGTCATTAGGGAAATGCAAACCAAAACCACAATGAGTTCCATACCCATTAGGATTGCTATTATAAACAACAGAAAATAAGTGTGGATGTGGAGAACCCTGATGCATTGCTGGTGGGATTGTAAAAAATGAATCTGCTATGGAAAACATTTTGGTGGTTTCTCAAAAAAGTTAAATGTAAAATGCCTATGATCTAGTAATTCCACTCCTAAGGATATAGCAGCATTATTCACAATAGCCAAAAGGTGGAAACAATCCAGTGTCCACCAACAGAGGGATGGATTAAAAAAATGTGTGTGTACTCAATGGAATATTATTCAACCATAAAAAGTGATGGCATTCTGATTCATGCTGCAACATGGATGAATCTTGAGGACATTGTGCTAAATAAAATAAGCCATGCACAAAAGGACAAATGTGTGATTCCACTTGTATGAGGTACCTAGAAGTCAGCAGGTTCCTCTGTCACAGAAACTTACCACCTAAACCCAGAGGCTTGATGACACTCATGTTCTGTCCCTTTTGGCAATTTCATAGAAATAGAAGGTGGCCTGGCCAGGTGTGGCTCAGCGGTTGAGCACTGACCTAGGATCCAGGAGATCATAGTTTGATTCCCAGTCAGAGCATATGCCTGGGTTTCGGGCTCAATCCCCAGTAGGGAGTGTGCAGCCAATCAATGACTCTCTAATCACTGATGTTTCTATTTCTCTCTCTCTCTGTCCCTTTCTCTCTCTGAAATCAATAAAGATAAATATAAAAAAAGATAGAAGGTAGACCAGAGGTTACCATGGCTGGGGATGGGGAGGGATTGCTTAATGGGCACTGAGTTTGATGAAAAATTTCTGGAAATGAACAGTGCGATAGTTGCACAACCTTGTGATTAATGCCACTGAAGTTTACACCTAAAAATAGTTAAAATGTAAATTTTGTATACTGCATATATTCACCACAATTTTAAAATTATACAACATAATAAAATTTTATTGATTTCCCCCCCAGTTTTATTGTGAAATAACTGACATGCATCACTATATAATTGATTGTATTTTAAAAGGAGGGAAGGGTTGCCCAGCCAGCATGGCTCAGTGGTTGAGCGTCGACCTATGAACCAGGAGATCATGGATCAATTCCTGGTCAGGGCACATACCCACGTTTCGGGCTTGATCCCCAGTGTGGGGAGAGGGTGCAGGAGGCAACCGATCAATGACTCATCGTTGATGTTTCTATTTCTCTCTCCTCCCTCTCTCTGAAATCAATTTTTTAAAAAAAGGAGAGAGGGGCGAGTGGGGTCCAAGGAGGCTGAGGGGGTCAAGTAAGATGAGAGAACTGAGAAGCAAAGGTAGGACACAGTGGCATGGAGGTGGGCAAGGACATTGGTGAGAGTAGTGACTCTGGTGAAGTAATCGAAGGCCAGATGGCAGGAGGCTGAGGCGGGAGGGTGAATATAGTCTCCTCAAGTCCTAGACTATATGAAGTCAAAGCTAGGAGAGCCCTTGGAAATCTTTGATTAGCTCCAGCCCCTCTATGACAGATGGCGCAACTGAGGCCCCGGGAGGGACAGGGACTAGCCAAGGATTTCAGAGCCAATTGGGGTCAGAACCAGACCTCTGGTAGCCTGTCTACTTCTCTGTGCTAATCTGGGATAGTGAGGAGTGGCGCTAACAGGGGCATGAAGTGACCTTGATAGAGGTATCCCAGAGATGGAGATAAAGGAAGAGGCCAGGGTAGGATGAGGACCTCAGGCAAGGCTGCTGGGTCAGGCAGACTGGTCTGCATACTTCTCCTGCCAGGGGAGACTCCAAGCTGGGCACCAAGATGCCAATGGCTCAGATCTAGGGACTGAGCCCCATACCCTTGAAAACTCCTGAAAATCATATTCTTCCCATCCTACCCCTCGACAACCACTTCCCACCTCCCCGGTGACCCCCATTACCCTGTCCCCACCCATCCCAGTGTTGGTTCTTAGCTCAGCTCTCATTGACTTGCTTCTTGTGGGCCTGGGATGTGGTATTTCTTTGAAACAAGTTCATGGTACTTGCCTTGTGAGGACCAAATGGTGCAGGGATATTGGAAAGCTTTGGTGACAGGGACTGGGCAACGGGGCACAGAGTCCCATCTTGGCCACTGACCTTGTGAATGTCTTTGACTTAATTTCCTCATTTCCTCAGTGAAGGGTCAGAATACAGCATAGTGTAGCCGAAAGAATAAGGATTTGGGGGTCAGAGAGGCCAAATTCAAGCTGAATTCTATTCTACCTCTTTCTAGCTATGTAACCCTAGGCAAGGAATTTTACCTCTGAGTCTTTAGTTCACATCTGTAAAATGGGAATAATCAGTCCTATGTTAGAGATGACTCAAGCCCCCCCACCAACCCCTGCATGCTGGTGGGAGCCCTGCTGAGCCCTGGGGTGGGGGGAGGGAAGGAAAGAAACCCACCTGCACAGAACACACCCTTCACTCCACTTCTGAAGAGCAGGACACGCACTTGCCGCTCGTCCCGCAGCTGGGCCAGAGCTTCCAGCAGCTGCAGAGGAGACCCCATCAGATATTTCCCAGCCCAGCCCCAACCCACCCTGGGGTCTGCCCTTGCTCACCTGGCTGACAAAGATGTTTCCCAGGGCATTGCGGGCATGCGGTCTGTTCATCAGAATCTCAGTGATTCCTGCAGGGGACAGGGCAACCTTGGGTGAGTCAGCTGGCCTGCTCACTCCTGCGCCCGGACTGGGAAGCCTCTACCCTTGAGCAACAACGTGACTTGGGAAAGTCACACATGCCCAGGCTTCAGTTTTCCTGAGTATAAAACAGAATAACCCTTGCCCTTTCTGCCTTACAGAAGTGGAAGGGCTTGTGAACTGTGGAGAATATGGGGAGAGGGACAAGAATGACCACTGCAGTGGTTCCTGTCTGCGTCTGCCATTGTTGTTCTCTCTCTACGTAATTCTTTCTTTCACAGCCAGACTTCTTCCTTTAGAGTTTAATAAGTTACAATAAACAAACGCCCTTGTAACCACCACCCAGAAAGCCCCTCCGTGCTCTGACTCAATCAGCTCCCTCCTCAGCCTCAAAAGAAACAACTCTTTTTTTTTTTTTTAAATATGTCTTTATTGATTTCAGAGAGAGGAAGGGAGAGGGAGAGAGATAGAAACATCAATGATGTGCCCGGCCGGGCGTGGCTCAGCAGCTGAGCATTGATCCAGGCCATCGGGGTTCGATTCCCGGTCAGGGCACATGCCCGGGTTGCGGGCTCGATCAATGACTCTCTCCTCATTGATGTTTCTATCTCTCTCTCCTTTTCCTTTCCTCTCTCTGAAATCAATAAAGATATATTTAAAAAAAAAAAGAAACATCAATGATGAGAGTCATTGATTGGCTACCTCCTGCACGCCCCTGACTGAGGATCGAGCCTGCAACCCTGACTGGGAATCGAACCTCGATCTCCTGGGTTGATGCTCAACCACTGAGCCATGCCCGGTCAGGGCACATGCCCGGGTTGCAGGCTCCATCCCCAGTGGGCGGCGTTCAAGAGGCTGCAGATCAGTGACTTCCTCTCATCATTGATGTTTCTGTCTGTCTCTCTCCCTCTTCCTTCCTGTCTCTGAAATCAATAAAGATATATTAAAAAAAAAATGTTCTTAGAACAAGGGAAAAAAGTATGTAACTGTGTGGTGTTAACTAGACTTATTATGGTGATTACTTAATAAGTAAATGACTCAGTGTAACAAATACTGAGTCATTTTGGTGTACACTTGAAACTAATATAATGTTATATGTCACTTATACCTCAATTTTTTAAAAAAGCCCAACTCTTATGAAGGTAGCCCCACTAAAGAAGATATACAAATGGCCAATAAGCACATGAAAAGATGTTTAATTTTATTAGTATCAAATAAATGAGAGCTTTTTAAAAAGCATAATGAGATATGACTACACACCCAGTACAACGGCTAAAACTAAAAAAATCTGAAAATAAAAACCAAGTGTTGGTGATGGAAAAAGAAACCCTATATATCTATTGAACAATTGTAATATATAAGAAACTGTGGGAGTTATAACTTATGTAACAGTCCTTGCCCAAAAGGTGCTTATAACCTAATACAAGTAAATTAAAATATGAGGTCTTGAGTAAGGTAAGTACATAAAATACTTACAGGATTACAGATGGCAGTTCACAGATGGAAGTATTTGAACAAGGCGAGAATAAGTAATTTTCACTTGCAGATTGAGGTATGGTGGGAAAAGTACTGTAGGAAATGGACTACCCAGGTTTTGGTTTTTGTTTTTTAATCCTCACCTGAGGATATTTTCTCCATTGATTTTTATTTAGAGAGGCTGGAGTGGAGGGAGGAGGGGGAGACAGAGAGAAACATGGATGTGAGAGAGACACATCAATTGGCTGCCTCCCCCATGTGCCCTGACCTGGATCGGATTGAGCCTGCAACCAAGGTACTTGCCCTTGACAGGGAATCGAACCTGAGACCCTTTGGTCCAAGGGCCGACATTCTAACCACTGAGCAAAACCAGCCAGGGCTTGACTATCCAGTATTTTAACGTCAGAGTTCCTAAAAGCTTAATCCAGAATCTCTCTATTCAATCATTTGTACAATTAAATAAGGTATTTAACACATGCTGGCCCTCACTGCAGCCACTAACCTGCTATGGGCTCTTTCCTCTATTATGTGAATCACCTATCTGGCCCTCTTGCCTTCAGTCTTGCTACCTGTCCCTTATCATTCCTTCATTTGGGTCACAGTCATTTTTCTAACCCAAATCTGACCATGTCCCTCCCTCTCTTCCCCTTTTCATCAAAATAAAATCCAATCTTTAATACCACCCACAGGACACCCCCAATCTGGCCCTTATACCCCATTTTAGCCTCAACTCAACTCCCCAGTCTGGGGCAGTTGTGGGGAAGAGACACCAGCTGTGGGTAGGGGCCATTTCCCCTCCTCTAAAATGTCAGATTGGGACTAGAGGAGTGTTTTCCAATCATTTAGCATTCAAAGGTCCCTCATTTTTTTGTCCCAGGGTCCTCAGCTTTGTCTGTGGAACAAGCAGTATTTATTAAGATGGCATTCTCAGTGTGAGTTGATTTGAGAATAGGGAAGGGCCAAAGAAAGTTTCAGGGCTCTCAAGGGTCAGGGTGTCCAACCTGAAGTTAGAAAATTGTGGTCCTGAGCAGAGAACTCTAACACTCAGGCTAAGTGGACTGACTTAGCCTCCTCAGAAATTTTCAAAGAGCTCACTGAGCCCAGCAGATCTGGAGGTGCCACAGAGGAATTCAGGTGTCCCCATGGTTCTCTCCAGCTCTGGTGCTTCAGAAGAGAAAATGTTGCAACTTTGGGGAAGAGAAACTGTGGTGAGTATCAGAGGAGTTGAGGAACACAGTCTAGGTCTAAGGTCATTGTGGCAGATAGACCCAAGAGTGGTTGGCCTGCTCACATCCCCTTCCCCTGAGTGTGGGCGGGACTTGTGAATTGCTTCTAACCAACAGAATACAGCTAAGGTTGCTAAATGTCACTTTCAAGATTAGATTCAATTATATGGCAACGGTGATGAGACGTTACTTTTGTGGTTACGTTGTAATATATATAAGACTCTGTTTTGCTAGTGCACACTAGAGAAACTAGTGGACCTATGGAGAGGGTCATGGGGCAAGGAAGTGTAGGCAGCCTCTAAGAGCTGAGATTGGCCTCCTGGCCAACAGTCAGCAAGAAAACAAGACTTTAGTCCTATAAACATAGGAGGTGAATTCTGTCAACAAGGTGAGGAGCTTGGAAGCAGATCTCTCCCCAGTCAAGCCTATGATGAGACCATAACCCTGGCCAACTCCTGTACAGCAGCCTGGTAAGACCCCAAGGCAGAGAACCCAGCTAAGTTGTGCCTGGACTTCTGATCTACAGAAACAATGGGATAATAAATGTGTGTTATTATAAGCAACAAAGTTTGTGGCAATTTGTTCTGTGGCAATAGAAAACCAATACAATCATGATGTCCTGGGATTGACAGAAACTTTCTCCGTTTAGCTTTTCTGTTCTTCTGTTTAGCTTTTCTGTTCTTTCATTCCTTTCTCACTGGCTAACTCTCTCCCATCTTTCACCTTTATCTCCTCTTCCCATTTTTATATCCGTCTCTCAAAATACTAGCAGTCAAATCTAATTGTGCTTCACTCAAACCACAGCGCAGTCATACACCAGCTCCATGGCCTTAGGCACCTTACTTTACCTGTTTGGCCTTCAATTCCCTGATCTGTAAATAGAAGTAATATAAAGGTTGTTATGAGGATTAGAAGAAATAATGTACATAAATGATTAGCCAAAGTTTGTGGGTACAGTGAGCAGGAAAAAGACACAGATGCTGGGGAAAGTCTGGGGCCCCATACAAGGTATGAACTCCAAGCTGGGAGCTCTGAGGAGTCAGGCAGGATGTCTCTGGCTTTCATTCATTCATCTGACAACATTCAATTTGTATAGATGTTGGAGAAATAGAGAGGACTCTGCCATGGTCCCTGCCTTCTTAGTTGAGCCCCGATTCTGGGAACATTGCTATTTCTGGGTGCCAGCAGTGGAGATGGGTCTGCACTGTACGCTCCTTAGTCTTAACCAAACCCACCATGCCACTGGCTGATGATTTACTCAGCAACTGACCTAAGATCACTTCTGTCTGGATGGTTTGAATCATAGGCTTGGTGATATGGTAGGAGTCAACAAAAACCACTGGATGTAGTTAGTATAGAGACCAATTGGTTTAACAACTCATTGTATAGAAGGGGAAACTGAAGCCCAGAAAGAAGAGAATTTGCCTAAGTTAACATCTGGACCCAGCTAGCAGTACTTTCTCTTAACGAGCTAACAACCTGTGAGAGAGACAAGTCCAGACACATGGAAAGTAAAGGGACATCGAGGGGTGGTAATTCCAGAAGTATTTACATAGGCAGAGACGAAAGGAGAGGACCCAAGTCAGGGGCATAGCTAGAATACAACACAGAGGTGGGACAGCTTAAAATGAACCCATGGGGTAGAAGAGGTAAGATGAAAAGGCCAAGTGTGGTGGAGAACCATGAACACCCTGCTAAGTAAGGAGCTGGAATAGAGCCATAAAGAAGAGTGAAGAGAAGTTAACAGCCAATCCTATTTTCAAGGACAACAGGTAAAGTGTGACAATGCTCTGATGCCATCGGTCCAAGAAGGCAGAGCCATGGCTTCTACTATGAATATCAAATGTTCATTTTGTTGTTGGGTGGGGGGAGGTGGTGTTTCTCTTGTGTGACAGTCTCCTTCTCATGCCTCCTCCACTGCTTCTCTTTCTCTTTGTCCCTCAGGAAGAGAGGGCGAGAGAGAGAGAGAAAGAAACATCCATGTGAGAGAGACATATCGATTGGTTGCCCGGAGGCCTGGGATTAAGCCTGCAACTGAGGTACTTGCCCTTGGCTGGAATTGAACCCAGGACCCTTCAGTCTGCAGGCCGACGCTCTAACCACTAAGCCAAATGGGCTAGGGCCCTCAGTGAGCTTCTAAATGCCCTCTGGTAGGGGCAGAGGCGTAATATGCTGATCCTTGTTATCTTTTTGGATAACAATTCTGCTATTTGCAAGATCTATGACCCCTGATAATATTTTTTACTGATGTACTATTCTGTGTTTTGTACAGAAGAGTCTGTGATTACCTAATAGTTGAGAACACAGATTTTGAAATCACCAGGTTCAAATTGCTTAACCTCTTTGTGCCTCTGTTTCTTTTTTAAAAAACATTTATTGATTTTGAGAGAGAGATTAACTGATTTGTAGTTCCACTTATTTATGCATTCATTGGTTGTTTCTTGGGATGGAACTGCAACCTTGGCGTATGGGGATGACGCTCTAACCAAGTGAGCTATCCAGCCAGGGCCTGTGCCTCTGTTTCTTAATCTGCAAAGTGGGGAGAATATAACTATATCAAGGCAAGCACTGTTGCTAGTTGGGCAGTGAACTAAGCATGAGAGTAAGGGGTATTCTCTAAGACCCAGCCATCCCACATGGCCAGAGAAGTTTTCACCAAGTGATGTAGTAGGGTGCTAGCAGCCCCTACGTGCCCATCATAAGTGGGAGATAGCCCTAGCCGCTTTGGCTCAGTGGGTCGACCCGCAGATGGAAGGGTCCCAGGTTCCATTCTCCCCAAGGGCATGTACCTCAGTGGCAAGCTTGATCCCTAGCCCCAGGGCGCATGTGAGAGGCAACCAATCAATGTGTCTCTCTCACATTGATTTGTTTTTTTTTCTCTCTCTCTGCAAAGCAATGGAAAAAGTATCCTCAGGTGAGGATTTAAAAAACCAACAAAAGTGGGAGATACCCACCAGGGAATAGTATGCCACAGCAGGGAGCAAGGAACTAGATTCATATAGCAAAGTGGCTCTTCGAAAGTTAGTATGGGGTGGAAGAGGAAATTAGAGTCCAATACCATCTGTGTAAATTAAAATTCTGACACAAACAATGCTACATCAAATACAGGGAAGGGGGATACGATTGGGGGGAAAGTAAAGAGAACGGCCTGCACCGGACCCTAAGGCGCAGCAGACTCAGGAGTGTGGGTAACCACAAACAAAACAAAATGTCCAGCCGAAGGGGTTTTCTGCCAGAGACCAGCGAGCCTTCCCGGCCCACACGCGGGGAGGAGACGCGCCCTCCTTTTCCCTCACCCTCCTCCCTGGGTCGCAGCCCTGCGCGAACGGCCCAATTGGCTCGGCTGCCTCAGCCCCCACGGGACCTGGCCAGGGTCCTTGGCCTTGGAAATCAATCGCGCCTTTAAAGCTCCGGGGTGGGTGTGGGTGCCTGGTCCTGCCCCTGAGCTGTTCTTCCCTTCCTCCCAGCGCAGGCTAACGAACCGGGGACTGAGGAGGCCTGTACGGACACGGAGTCCCACTCCAGCTAGGGTGGGGCAGGCCAGGAAGGTGGTCACCCACTCTCGGGGTGCCTAGACCGGGATGCAGGGGATTTGGGACCAGATCCTGAAACGCCCTAGACGACCCTCCTTCCCCCTACTGGCCTGTTTTTCCGTGTGCAGTGGACGCGCTGGCCGTCGCCTCGGCCGGGGCGGCAGCGCCAAGCGCCCCCCTCCTCAGCTCAGCCCCGACTCCCTCCAGCTGCCTCCTGGGTGCTCCCCGGGACGGCGCACTCACCTTTGTCCGGACCCTCCAGCGCGCGCACTTGGATCTCGCGGTCCCGGGCCGCGCCGTCCGAGGCGCAGCTGCGGGCGGGAAGGGGCCTCCAGGGTCGCGCCAGGCGCAGGGCGCTGGTCAGGGCGCGCTGCATGTGGGCGCAGGCTGGGAAGGCGCCGCTCGGCCTGCCCACTCCTCCTCTCCCGCCGACAGCTCGCGGGTGGGCCGCGAGGCCTTCGCAAACTGCTCCACCTATGGGCCGACAGGCCTCGCTCCTCTCTTCGCCTCCTGGAGACCCGGAGACCTGGGTAGGGGGAAGCCCAGCTCCGCTGTGTGATTTGGGGCAAGACTGTCAACCTTTCTTAAGCGTCAGTGTTTTAACTTGTAAAGCGCAGATAATCATAGTGACTACTGGAAAAGATAAAGGCAGACGCCAGTTAAAGCACGGACAACAGATTTAAAACGGTAATATGCCATTGCAAAAGGGAAACGTCCAGCCTGAAATGAACTCATTTGGGCCCAGGTGGGAGTGCGCAACCGGCTGGAGACCCAGTCCGCCTCAGCCGTTGGATAAAAAGCTTTTCAACCTGGTACCTGCCATTCGGGTTTAGGTTCTCAAGGAGTGTGGTCTTGAGCAGGGTCTGGGACTGAGAGAACAGGGATTGGCTAGAAACGGGTCTCACAAAAGGGTACCCTGAGGAAAATTTTTGGATTGTTGGAATTGTCCTGTCTCCTGTTAATGGTGGTAGTTTAGAAGAGTCAGTGCATATGTTTGCCACTCATGGGATCTTACACCAATAAAGGGTCAGGGTGGGGGGGATTTCACCACATCTATGTCTAAAACAAAGGAAAAACCAAAGTTCAGTCACTAGCTCTGTGACCTTTTTAATCTCTCTGAAACTCATTCTCAGGTGGTGGTGTGTTAGGATTAAAGGAGGTGACAGAAACAAAGGCTTTATCCCCTAAATATATTATATATATTTGATGCTTTTTATTTGCTGATTCTGAATTACAAATTTGTCTACTCACAAAAATTTATTTGTAACCCCAAAATCAGTACTAAAAGAGTTCTTGAGGTGGCAAAAATTTTGAGTGGTGCCTTGTGCCTGTTCCCAGCTGAGGTTGAACAAGACCATGCAGTACCTTCTTATTTCAGCTTTTATGCTGTAGACAAGTGTCCCTATCATGATCTATTTCGTGCCACATTTTTTGCTCTTTTGTTGGTGATTTCACGTTTAAAAATGGTCCCCAAGCCTGAAGTGCTGTCTAGCATACCTAAGTGCAAGAAGGGTGTGATGTACCTTATGAAGAAAATAATGTGCTAGATTAACTTAGTTCAGACATGAGTAACAGTGCTATTGGCCTTGAGTCCAATGTTAATGAATCAACTATATATATGTATATATAGTCATATATGTACATATGTATATATTTTTTATACCATCAACAAGAAGAAAGGGCAATCTACTGAGTGGGAGGAGATATTTGCAAATGATATATATAATAAAGGGCTAATATTCAAAATACAGGATGGGGCAAAAGTAGGTTTACAGTTGTTTGTAGGGAAAGTACAATAATAAATAATAATACAAAAATAAACTCTGTTTCATGTACTCACAGCTGTAAACCTACTTTTGCCCCATCCTGTTATAAAGAACATACAACTCTGCATCAAACCCCCCCACAATCTAATTTAAAAAATGGGCAAAGGACCTGAATAGACATTTCTCCAAAGAGGACATACATATGGCCAACATACACATGAAAAGATGCTCAACATCACTAATCACCAAAGAAATGCAAATCAAAACCACAGGGAGCCCTGGCCGATTTGGCTCAATGGTTAGAGCGTCAGCCGGTGGACTGAAGGGTCCCAGGTTCGATTCTGGCCAAGGGCACATATCTCAGTTGCAGGCTCCACCCCAGTCTCGGCTCCTGCAGGAGGCAAACAATGTGCTTCTCTCTCTCCCTTCCACTCTCTCTGAAAAGCAATGGAAAAAATATCCTCGGTTGAGGATTAAAAAAACCCCGAAAACACCACAATGAGATATCATCTCACACCTGTCAGAATTATCAAAAAGACAACAAATGACAAGTGTTGATAAGGATGTGGAGAAAAGGGAACCCTCATGCACTGTTGGTGGGATTGTAAATTGGTGTAGCCACTGTGGAAAACATCATGGAGTTTCCACAAAAAATTAAAAATGGAGCTGCCATATGACCGGGCCATTCCACTTCTGGGTATTTATTTTTTTAAAAAACTAAAACAATAATTCAAAAGAGATATATTCACCTCAATGTTTATTGCAGCATTGTTTACAATAAACATATAGAAGCAACCTAGGTGTTCATCGATAGATGAATGGATAAAGAAGATGTGATAAATATATACAATGGAATATTATTCCACCATAAAAAGTAATAAAATCTTGCCATTTGTGATAACATGGATAGACTTATGAGGGTATTGTGCTATGTAAAATAAATTGGACAGAAAGACAAATACCATGATTTCACTTATATGTGGGATCTAAAAAAAACACATGAACAAAAAAAATTAAAAAGAGGCAAACTCATAGATACAGAAAACTGATGGTTATCAGAGGGGAGGTGGGTTGGGGATTGGGTGGAAAAAGGGAAAGCACGTCATGACGGCCGGTAGTCACATCCTGGGCCCATATTATCCTTGACTAAGGTCAGTTTTTACCTTAATTGAGCCAGCCTGTCTACTGACTCGCTTTTAGTTAGGAATTTTTATGGAGGGAGGGAAGAAGAGAGGGAGAGAAAAAGAGAGAGAGAGACTTGGTTGCCTCCCTCATGCAGCGGGCCCTGGTGAGGGATGGAGCCTGCAACCGAGGTACGTGCCCTTGGCCAGAATGGAACCCTGGACCGTCAGTCCGCGGCCACGCTCTAACCACTGAGCCCGACGGGCCAGGGCTCATAAAGGTACTCTTAAAAAAAAATAAAAAAATAAAAATCGGAGCTACATAACCCTCCCCGCCCCCACAGCTGCGCGCGCAGCCGTGCCTCCGCGCAGGCGCCGGCCCCTATCACCGCCGCTCCTCCCCGCCCTCCCTCGCAGTTGCTGCCCCCGCGGGTCACCATCCCGGAGCGAGCCCCGCTTCGCCCGCGGCTGCAGCCCGGCAGCACCCCTCTCCGTCGCACAGTGTCCGCTGCGCCCGCTTCCGACATGACCCGCACAGTTGGAGCCACGGCTCGTACCTTCTCACAGCCTCGGACCCTGCGCCGGGTGTTCGTGGTGGGGGTTGGGATGACCAAGGTAACAGAGCAGCGGTCCCCTGAAGCCGGGCTCCCTGCTCACTCTGTCCGGGTGAGACCAGGAGAGTCCCCAGTTTCCGCGAAACTTGGGGTGGAGGAGGCGCGGGGCGCGGGTCAGGGCTTGACGCTGTCCCTGGGTCCGTCCTTCCAACCTTGAGGGCTCCGGACAACCCACTGCCCGCCGATATTGGCCCTTGGGGGCCTCAGAGTGGCAGGTGGGTGGGTGTGATGTAGAGTCTCCGAGGGCTTGTGGTGTCTCCCGGCTTTTCATGCGGCCGTTTGTTCCCGCTCGTTCCACTTCACCCCGGCGTCAGAGTCCGTGCAGGGCGGACCAAGCATCCGAAGGCCACATCGCTTTGCCCCTGAGCGGACCTTCAGAGGGGGCGAGGCCACCGCAGTCCCCAAAGGGCAGCCGGTGGTGAATGTCACCAGCTCCGCACTCCTAGAAATATAGTAGTCCCTCCTTATCCGCGGGTTCTGTTACCTGCAGCCAACCACTGGAAAATATTAAATGGAAAATTCCCAAAATAAACAATTCATAAGTTCTAAATTGCATGTTGTTCTTAGTAGCTTGATGAAATTTCTCACCATCCCATTCCGTCCAGCCTGGTATGTAAATCATCCCTTTGTCCAGTTCTCCATGCTGTACACACCGGGTATGCGCTACCCACCTAGTCACTTAGCAGCCATCTGGGTTATCAGAGAGAGAGAGACTATAGTCACATAATTTTTATTACAGTATATTGTTATAATTTTTAATTTTATTATTGTTATTGTACCTAATTAAGAAATTAAACTATCACAGATACGTATGCATAGGAAAAACCCCAGTATATATAGGGCTAGATACTATTTGAGGTTTCAGAGATCCACAGGGGGTCTTGGAACAGATCTTTCAAAGATAAGAGGGGACTACTGTACTCCAGGGACGTTTCGAAGTATGGATGCAGGGGAGAAACATTAGTGATGCTCAGTGTGTTGGCACAAAATTTTTCTGCATCTTCCACCCTCGTTTCTGTTCCTCAAGTGGTACTCTACTTGGCACTAGGAGGCCAGAGGCTCCTACAGTTTTATTTCTTGACATACCACCCCCATGCTCTAGGAATGCCAAACTGCTTTTAGTTTCACTGCACACTCTGTTTTATTCCTCTTTTATTTTGCTTCTGTTGTTCTCATTACTTTTACCATTTGTCTTCTCTTGGTTAACTTCTTTGCATTTTTCAGAGATCAGTTCAGATCTCCAAGAAGCCTCTGATCCTCCTGACTTTCCCACAGAGCCCCTGTACTTAACTTCTATCTTACTATGTTATACTGAAATTCTGTTTATATGTCTGTATTCTTCCTTAGCGTGTAAGCTCCTCCAAGGGGAGTACCATGTCTAATTCATTGCTGTACCTCTGGCACCCTGAAAGTACCTGGTGCCTGAAGACCCTCAATGAATGTTAATTAAACAATACTTTGTGAAAGAGAGCTCCTAGGGGAAGTTCTTTTTATGAGAAAACATCCTTAAAATTTTTATCTTACCAACAGGGTATGATCACAATTCAGTCAAAACGTGTGTGTGTGTGGTTAACTAATACATTATAAAACAGATATTTGGAGATCATCTTATTGTTTTGTGGGAGAGGGGACTTCTAATATAGGTAGACGCTAAAGCCTTTTAAATTTTGGTATCAATGCAGTCAGATCCTTTATTGGCAGTTGAGTGTTTGATTATATTGTCTGTATAGAAGAGCACTTAGAGCTTTCTAACCCTTTGGGAAGTAGGCGTATCTCTTTTCTCAAGTTGGGAGGTGGAGGTATGGGAGGTGTTAGTTATACTCCTGAGGGAAGAAATTGGGAGTATGGAGAGCAGCTTTATTGATGTGCTTATTAGACCAATGTACTTCCCTCTGGGTTTGATTTTTTGGAACTTTGGGTAGGGTTTGATCAAGACAGAGAAATTAGCTAGATAAAGTAGTTTAAGCTCTATTGTAGGTCAAAATTGGTTGGGTTCCTGTGTTACGGTTCTTAATTTGAATAGCTGAATTATTCAGACAACTTGAAGTTCTCTTAATGGAGCTTTATTATCTGTGTACAAAATGAGTTAGAATTCCTATTGTGGGTGTCAACAGGTTTTAACAACTAAGTAACAACTGCCGCCTGGCTGACAGGCCAGATCTTTTGCTTATGCCACCTACTTCCTGATATATCCTCATTTGATTGATTTAAATTCTGCCTGTTTTCATAACTGGTCTTAGTCTGTCTGGGTTGCAATAACAAATATCGTAGACTGAGTGGCTTAAACAAAAAATATTTGTTTTTCTCATAGTCTGGAGGTTGGTAAGCCCTAGACCAAACTGCTGGCAGATTTGGTGTCTGGTGAGGTCCTACTTCCTGGTTCATAGAGGGAAAATTCACTCACCAGAACGAAGACCAATGTCCTCACATTGGAAGAAGGGGCAAAGGAGCTATCTGGGGTCTCTTTTTATGAGGACGCTAATTCCATTCACGAGGGCTCTATCTTTATGATCTCCCAAAAGTCCCACCTCTAGATACGATCATACTGGGGATTAGATTTCAATATGTGAATTTGGGGAGGACACAGACATTCAGTCTATAGCAGAGTCCAAATCCTGTATTCTCTTAAAACTTCCTCAGACTGCTCTGAGTTATGCTGGTCACCTTTTTTGAAATTCTGGTGCCTTTGGAGTCAGGACCATGTAATTCAGCACTTACTCTTTCTAATACTACTTTTATGTGTGATAATTCCACTATCCACAGAAAGAAATACATGTTACATCACAACTGAAATAAGTTTGCCAAAGCAATACTTATCTTTATTATGTGTGATGAACTCTTGATATTTCCTATTCTATTTTTAAAAATGCTGCTCACAACCCACAACCCTTAAAATTGATTTTGTCACCCTCTGCGAATCTATAGTTTGAAAAATATTACATTATTTCATATAATCCTCACCATGTAATGGATTATTATCCCCATCTTATTGTCCATCCCTGAGGCTAAGCGGGTCTAAGTAATTTATCTATCATGATACAGCTCATAAATTTTGAAACTGATTACTCAACGTCTCATGTTTCTTCCATAATATCTCTGCCATACATTACTGTTACAGTTAATTAATCATTTAAGCATATATTCAATAAACTTAGTATATGTTATATTCTAAAACTATATGATGTTGCAAGGAAGTGATTACTATAAGAATCAGGATAGTGCCCTGGTCAGCTAGCTCATTTGGTTAGAGCATTGTCCTGATACACCAAGGTTGTGGGTTTGATCCCTGGTCAAGGCACTACAAGAATCAACCAATGAATGCATAAGTAAGTGGAACAACAAATTAATGTCTCTCTCCTCTCCTTTCTCTCTAAAATCAATAATTAAAGAAAAAAAAGAATCAGGATAGTAATTATTTTGGGGGTGGAGTGGGGATTGAGATTGGGACAGAATGCCTAGAGGAGTTTCTGGAGTGGCAGGCAAAGTTCAATTTTTTGGTCTGGGTGGTGGTTTTAAAGATAAAGGTGGGCAGTAGGTAAACTATTAGGACATTTTAATCCATAATATAGTATTGCAGGAAGGAAAAGAGCCTGATGGAAGCTGAACTCAACTTTGATTTATACAGAAGTGACTGGGTGTTTTAAAGGGCAAATGAGGGGAGCAAGAGGGTGGTGAGTGGGGGCTCAGTAGTGAAGTGAAAAGTTACAAAAAGTGGGAAGGAGTGGGGATTAGTCCACATAAAACCCATGTAGATTTGCTAACTGACTCTTATGCAACCTTAGACTCTGACCCTCCCACAGGTGTTGGCTGGAACAAACAGTACATTCTTTTGGCAGCTTTTGGTTTTCTCTGCTGGGTACTTTAATTGGGGCTAAGGTTGTCCCAGGGATGTGGCCTTGAGCTATTGCTGTTAAAACTGTGTTAAAACTATGAGCTGTTAAAACCATATACATATAAAATATTGCCAGCACCTCAGAAATTCCCCTTGTGCTCTCATCCAGTCACTGACTCCTTGTTTAAGTCTTTATAGGTCAGTATGAGGCTTAGTAGAGAGTAGAGGAGCCTGACTAGATTTTGGTGAAGCAGAGAATCATTGTCATTGGTTACAAGAGTGTCTGCTTTAAAATAATTCATCAGAATACACATATTCTACACACACACACACACAGTTTTTTGGTATGTATTCCTGTGGTTTTCTATATCTTTGGTATTTACAATAAAAAGGTTAAAACTTTTAAAAACGAGGCAGTTGCCCTAGCTGGTTTGGCTCAGTGGTTAGAGCGTTGGCCTATGGACTGAATGGTTCCAGGTTTGATTCCGGCCAAGGGCGTGTAACTTGGTTGCAGGCTCGAAAACAGCCCTGGTCAGAGTGTGTGCTGGAGGCAACCAATCGATGTGTCTCTCTCTTACATCTCTCTCTCTCTCTTTCTCTCTCTCTCTTCCTCTTCCTTTCACTCTCTCTGAAAAGCAATGGAAAAAATATCCTCTGGTGAGGATTAAAAAATATATATATGTGAGGCTATTAATGACTCCAGAAACCCCCCCAAATTGTACAATAGAGGAAATGTAATCATAGCACCCAACTTGCCTCAGAAGTAAGAAGTAGTTACTTAATAAGGTAAACACTAAGTACTGATTTAATTAAAAACTGTGATTCAACTATCTAAGAAGAATGGGGGAAATATGAATGTATATGTGAGGTGGCCTAAAAAACCAGTCCTTATTGGCCCTTATTGGGTATCATTATATAATTTAAAAAAAATATGTTTTTATTGATTTCAGAGAGAGAAAGGGAGAGGGAGAGAGAGATAGAAGCATCAGTGATGGAAGAGATCCAGCTGGCAACCTGAGCATGTGCCCTGACCAGGAATCGAACTGAGATCTCCTGATTCATGAGTCAGCGCTCAACCACTGAGCCATGCCGGCTGGTCTATAATTTCTTAAGTTGATAAAGGAGTAATAATATAAGGATATTTAGAAACATGGCATTTTATAAAAGGAGAAATATCAAGAAGAGTTGAAAGTGAATATTTGGGAGCAAGAAAGACCAGTGGATGGGGAATAATGAAACAGGATTGCTGTTTTTATTATAAGCCTTATGATAATTTTATTTGGCATTTCTTTGCTTAAAAAACAACTAACTAACTAACTAACTAACCATATATATATAAAATACTACCGGCACCTCAGAAATTCCCCTTGTGCCTTCATCCAGTCACTGACTGCTTGCCTGCAAAGGCCGTTATCCTGACTTCTGACCTTTAATGCCATAGATTAGTTCTGGCTTTTTGTTCAACATTATGTTTGTGAGATTCATCCATAAATTTATATGTAGGTGTAGATTTTTCATTCTCATTGATGTAACATCTATTGTGTGAACATACCACAATTTATCCAACCTGTTAATTGGCTTTTGGTAGTTTCCCCCAATCCCGGCAATCACTGATCTTTTTATTGTCTCTGTAGTTTTGCCTTTTCCAGAATGTCATATAGTTGGAATCATACAGTATATAGCCTTTTCAGATTAGCTTCTTTACTTAGTAATGTGCATTTAAAGTTCCTCCATGCCTTTTGTGGGTTGATAGCTCATAGCATTTTAGCACTGGATAATAATATGCCATTGTCTGAATGTGCCACAGTTTATTTATTCATTCACTCATTAAAGATGTGTTAGTTGCTTCCAAGTTTTGGCAATTATAAAGCTACTATAAACATTCATAGTAGGTTTTTGAGTGGACATAAGTTTTCATCTCATTTACGTAAATACCAAGGAACACAATTGCTGGATTGTATAGTAAGAGAATGTTTAGTTTTGTAAGAAACCGCCAAACTATTTTTCAAAGTGGCTGTGCTATTTTGCATTCCCACCAGTGATGAATGCGAGTTCCTGTTGCTTTACTTCCTTGTCAGCATTTTGTGTTGTCAGTGTTTGAATTTCCGCCATTGTAATAGGTGTGTAGTAGTATCTCATTGTTTTATCCCAATCTCCCTTTTTTTCTTTTTTTAAAATCTGTTGTCTTCAGAATGAAACCCAGACATCATAGGGGGCCCTATAAGGTCCCTTGTGAGAGTTCACTCTAGAGCCAGACTATTGAAGTTTCAGCTCCACTGCTTATTAGCTGTGTGTCCTTGGGCAAGCTACTTAATGTCTTTGTGCTCTAGTTTTTGTTATGGTAAAATCGAGATAATAATAGATTTACCTTTTAGTGTTGTTATGAGGATTAAATGAGTTAATACGGGTAAAGTGTTTAGCACAGTTCGTAACACAGTAAGTTCCCAGTAAATGTTAGTAGTTATCACTTGGTCCTAAGTTACTTTTCTGTCCCTGTCACTTGCCGCTTCCCACCTTGTGCCTCAACCTCTGCAGTATAAAAATTGTTTGCAGTACCTGTATTGAGCCACATTCTCTCACTTCTAGGCCTTTGCTCTAGAATTTCCTTTTCTCTCACTTGGTTATATCTTACTCTTAAAGACTTAATTTAAATGTCAGTTCCTCTGGGAAGCCTTTCTAGTCCTCCCTCTGAGGCTGGGTAGTTGCCTCTCCCAAATCATTCTGTACTTAGGACACTGTAATGTAATTTCCTATTTTTCATTAGACTGGAAGCTCCCTGAAGGTAAGGACTGCATATTATTTAATATTTTCAGAATCCATGAACATGCTAGGTGTTTAATATGTTTTTATTTGAATGAATGAATTTCTATGACATTCTGTTGTGAGGAAATCTAACTAAAACTTGTTTCTATTTATTATCTCCTGTATTTCTAGTTCATGAAGCCTGAAGTTGAGAATTCAAGAGACTACCCTGACTTGGCAAAAGAAGCAGGTAATATAGATCTTTGAACATTATAGTTTATTGTGTGATCCGTCTTCATTGTGGAGAAGCCTTGCAACCATCAAAGGAAGCCTGGTCAAGGGAGAAGAACCTGTACAAGCAATTGCCTAGTGGTTCACTAGAAAGGAGAAAGGGAAAAAAACTTGGGCATTCTTAGCTAGATCGCCAGAGCAGACAGTGGCCAGTGATTTTATGTGCTACCCAGCTATTTGTTGGGATAGCAAAGGGCTCTTTGGGAGAGAAAGGTAGGGTCATTAAAAGGGATAACTTGATTCTAGGAGATATGACAAAATTGGTCTCTTCCTTTCCTAGGAAAGGGATAATCACATTCAAAATGTATTAAATACCTGTATGGTGGCTTTCCTCTCTTCACTTGACTGAGCCAACATAGAGAATTCTTTTTCTACCACTAGGCTACTGTGTTACTAAATGAGGTGATGCAGTTCGTTATCGTTTATTCTAGTTAGTATTAAGCGAAGAACTTGGGTGAATATTGGTGAGCTGGAACTCAAAGAGAGAAGGGTCCACAGGGGTGTGGAGCTGTGTTCTTTAGGCATTCTTCAGAGGCACATGCTTAGGCCAGGCTACCGCTGGCTGAACTATGGATCGGAATTCCATTGTTCTCTCTTGGAGGACAAGCATGACAGCTTCTCTGCATAGTGGAAAGAAATGTTTTAGACTTATCGCCAAGCTGGCTAAGTGTAAGTGTCAATTGTTGGGGAGTGCTGGAAGATACCAGCTTCCCAGCATGGGGAGACCTTGGGGGCTCCTTGGCCCCATGAAGTTGTTAGGTACAGTTGCCCTCCTAGGAAGTCCCCCGGGCACGTCCTGCTCCTGCCAGCTTGTTGCAAGGAAACCCAAAAAGAATTACTGCAGTTATTCATTAGATACTCCTCCTTGTCTCCCCTAGTACCTAGTGCCTATATATTTGCATTTTGCTTCAACTCTGTTCTATACATGAAATCAGAGCATCTCTGCTCCCCGAAAGGAAGGTTCATGAGATTTAATTAATTAATTATTTTTAAAAACATGTTTTTATTGATTTTAGAGAGAGGGTGGGAGAGGGAGAGAGAGAAACATCAATGATGAGAGAGAATCATCGATCAGCTGCCTCCTGCACGCCCCCTCCTGGGGATCGAGCCCGAAACCCAGGCATGTGCCCTGATTGGGAATTGAACCATGACCTCCTGGTTCATGGGTTGATACTCAGCCACTGAGCCACACCAGCTGGGCTAATTAATGTTGATTATCTGAGTGGACGCTGTTCATTTAATATTTATCTTTTACATTGTTAAACATTCTCTCTTTCTCTCTCTCTCTCTTTTTATTGTTTTATTGATTTTAGAGAGAGGAAGGGAGAGAGAGGGAAACATTGATGTGAGAGAGAAACAGTGATTAGTTGCCTTCTGTATTCACCCTGACCAGGGATCTATCCTGCAACCTGGGTATGTGCCCTAACCCTGAATCGAGCAGGCATCCTTTTGGTGCACCAGATGACACTCGACAAACTGAGCCACACCAGCCGGGCTAGAATAAACTTTTAAAATTCAGCTTTGCTCTTAAAAATACCCGTTGGTTTTAAGTATGTAGGGAAATGAGAAGGATGACTCCACTCACATCTCTGACATAGTCTTTGGTGAGATATGTGCACCTTCAGACCACACCAGTCACATTTAGTTTAATCAACATTCAAGCACAACTTGGGGGAAAAATCCCTAAGATTCTATGAATGATTTTACATTATGCTCTCTTTGGATTTATTTGTAGACTCGTGATGAGGCAAGGGGACAGGTTTCATGGAACAGTAGATCTAGAGGTCTTACCCTCTAATTCTCCAAACTGGTTTTAGGAAGGGAGTCTGCTGCCGTTTTCTTTCTCATCATTTCCTAAATGCATAGATGGGAGGGGGCACAACCAGCAGAATTGTGTCCTGTCGCTTCCATTATTTAGAGACTCCTGCTTTTTACACATCCCTCCATCCTCCTTTCCCTCAGAGAAAGGTGAGGGATCCCTTTGCACCTAAATATGGATGATACTCATTTGTGTGGTGTAGCAGCACCATGCAGCTTGTTCAGATAGTTAACTCCTGTGCTTTCTTTGTCTTCTCATCCCTTTAAAACATTTTTACTTATCAATTATTTGAATCTGAAAGTGTATGCAGAAAACCTGATGTTCGGAAAAAGTGTTCAACAAACGTTAGTGAGTGCATCTTGGGCACTGGGAAGGATTTACAGTAGGGTGGTGTACAAATCCCAAGGCTCTTACCATCTGGTAGGGAAAATAAGGCAAGTTTACCCAGGTGGTGAGTAGACCATGCTGGGTAGATTGTGCTCTTTAGAGGAGGTACAGAGCATAGGCTAATCCTTACACCTTTCCTGTAGCTCATTCTTTTCCACTGATTATAAGATCGATGCATGTGTTTTATTGGAACACAGAATTATATAATAATGAAAACAAAATTTTGTGACCCATGCCTATCACTATTAATATCTCGGTATATTCTATTTTAGTATTTTTTCCTATGCCTATAAGGGATCATATGCTATGTAGTTTTACATTCTGAGTTTAAACTTACTTTTCATGAGCATTTCTCCTATTACTTAAAATTGTTTAAAAAAACTTTTCATATTTCATTATACATTTATGCTCTGACTTTTGTTGGACATTTATGTATGCAACTTTTTGATATTTTAGAAGAATTATGGTGAATATCTTGCTAAATAAATATTTGGTCTCATCTCTAGTTACTTTTGGGGACAGAGCCTGGAAGTAGATTCATTGGAACAGTGAATATGAACATTGTAAGACTCTTGCCAAATAATGTTTCAGACTGTTTACATTATTAGTCTCACTAGCAGTATATGGAAATGCCCTTCTTAATATAATCTCACCAGCATCATTATAACAAAAACATTAAATTTTTTTGCTCATATGCTAAGCAGGAAAATATAACTGGTTGGACTAAGCCAATCCCATAATCAATTATATGTCTTCTCAGTTAAAAAAATTCAAAGTAATACATTCATATGGTTAACACACACACACACACACACACTCTCTCTCTCTCTCTCTCTCTCTCTCTCTCTCTCTCTCTCTCTCTTATACAAACACACACAGAATGGCTTTTAATTCCCAGGCCTGTTCCTCAGGGGGCAATTTCTTCTGTTTTCGCTTTAGTTCTTCTAGTGGTTAGCTCCATATCTCTAAACGTTTATTCCACCACACTTATTCCAGTTTTTGGTTTATCAATTTTAGATATATGTTTGCTTCTCACTGTGATAAGGATTTAGCTCCCAGTTTATTTATATATATTTTTTCAGTTCCATTGTTCATTTCTGTAACTTTAAAAGCATCCTTAAAGCTCCATTTCTTGTTCCATAGACAAGATCATATCTTGATCCCGACTTTGTAAGATGACCGCACAGGTGCTCCCATCCCTCTTCATCCCCAGTATTGACATTCTGTCCAATTTTGCCCACTATATATGCAATGGAGCCACAGAGATGAATAAGACAAGGACCTTGCCATTAAGGAGATTTAAGTCTCTTGGGGTTTAATATATTTATAGTTAGGTATACAATTGGGACAGAAAATGTTAAGTATCAAAGAGGAGGTGTGAAAAAGTGATGCAGTAGCTTACAGAAGAAATGATTATTTCTGAAAGGAGAGATCTGAAATGATTTGGTGAAGGATTTGTCATTTGAATTGAAGATAGGCTATAAAGAGGTAGATTTACTACTCTGGGAAAACTCTAAACTTAATTTTTACTCACCTAAAGCAAATACTTAAAGCACTATTTGCTAAAACCTTTTTGTTTTTATAGGTCAGAAGGCTTTAGCTGATGCACAGATTCCTTACTCAGCAGTGGAACAGGCATGTGTTGGTTACGTTTATGGTACGTGGTAAACTATATATTCTAAAAATTATTCACCTAAATCTAGCAGCAACCACATAAACAATGCAGGGGCATTTGTGAATTTTAACTTTCAAAATTCAGAGTTCTACCCGTCATTCCTAGATTTCTCTTATGTGTAAGCCTAATTTAACATATTTTTTTGCCATTATTATATTGTCAAAACAGGAGATCAATTAAAAAAAATTTTTATATTTAAAAATGAAAAAAATTACCTATAGTTCTACCATATAAAGATAATTACTCTTCAGAGGATAAGTTTTTATTTCTTGTCTTAAAATTTGCATTTATTGATGTTTTTGTAGTTAATAAAAATTTTTCATTAAACTTTTTCTGATTAAAATATGATATATAGTCATTGTAGAAAAAAAAAGGAAACACAGAGAAGCACAAGAAAACATAAGTCAACTATCAAAGTGATGTCAGAAGCATGGCAGTGTGAGAGGTCCCCCCAGCCTCTCTCCTTGAAGTTACAAGTTGAACAGCTATAATTCAATACACGAACACATCTGAGAGATCCATGACTTCAAGCATCAGAATGTGGGCCACTCAGAGCGAGCAGGGGAGTAGAGAAGGGGGAAGAGAAGAGAGGGTGCCAAGGATGTAGTCTGGAGCTCACTGTGGGTCTTGGGAAAGGAGGAGAATCAGGTTGCAGCCCTGAAGAGCAGAGAGGTAGAATCAACATTCCTGCCTGAGTGGTCAGCACATGCTGTGGCTGAACCTAGTGACTGGAGCAGAGATGGAACACAGAGGTGTGGCAGCTGTGATTTAGCAGATATCATTGCCAGGCAGAAAAACAAAGCCACAGAGTCTGGTTGCCTCTCCTTACCCTCCCAGAGCTAGCTGGGCTCCAGAAGAAGCTATGGCAGTGAGTGTTGGGATGCAGAGCACACTATTTGCAACCCTGAGAGCTAGAGAGGCAGAGGCATTCCTCTCTGAGCAGTGGGTGGGCACAGGCTGCAGCTGGTTCCAGTGATGAAGGGTGG